AGGCATACAAATTGAGGGCATGTGTGCTCAAAAAAAACCTGTAGAAACATCATCTTAACTAATTAATAAAGTGGCCCTATGTCTTTTCACGTCATCTGCATATTAGAATTGTGAGGTATGAGACCCATTTTACTAATGCCCTGAGAAACCCAGAACTGCTGGCTGTCTCAGGGTCTGTAAGCAGGAGAGCAACAACTGAATCCCTGATTTTCTGGTTCCAATGCCACTGCTATTCTCATCACACCAGGCTGTCTAGACCTGTTAGTAAGGGTTGAACTAGCTCTCTGGTCAGACTACCTGAGTTCCAATCCTGCTCTGCTGGGCTCTAATGTACTCATAAGAAAAGATCTCCAGAATGTACCAAGTGGAAAAGGCAAGGTGTATAGTGTTTTACCAAGTGCAAAAAAAGAAAACATTTAAAAAGAATATATGTTTGTATTTGCTTATTAGGAATAACCTATTGCTTGCCTACAGCTTCCCTATTTGTAAAATGTGGGTGGTAGGATTACATTCATTAAATACATTAAAAACCGTAAGAGAACAGTGCTTGGCACACTGTAGTGCCATTTTATTTGGATTCTCAGTCCAAATAATTTCTTGGCTTAAATCATATTCTAAAATTCTCTTTTAAATATCATTTTCAATTGGCACAGGCAAGATGAAAATGTGGCAAACCACAGCAAAATGTAATTTAAAGCTGCTTTAAGTTAGGCCCAATAGCAGTGTGATTAGCCAGTACTGAAGAATACGTGGTGAATCACAATCATATATACCAAAGAGCTATTACCATTCATACTTTTAGTAACTAAATAAATAAATAAAACTTTTCTTTTTCCTTCCTAAAAGGGGTCATACAGATGTTTAACGATACTGTATTTTTAACGGTTTGCCATTCTAAATGGTATGAGCAAGTTTAAGGAAAATCTTAAAGCAAAATACCTTAGATTATGACCCCAAAACACATTTAAAGTCGCAACAGTGTTACTGTTACCGTTTTAACTTTAAAGTTAGTAAAAGGCATACTGTATCTGCTGTAAAGTGGAAAAAAATGCGTGATGATTATGTTCATAAACTTTAGAATTCTGGAAAAGGGGCTTTTTAAAAAAATAATGACACTTCTTCCAGTCTTTCTCTAAAACTGACCCTCACCCTGAGCCACGTGGAGTTTTCAGCTTCCTCCTCGTCCCTTCTTTCTGCAGTTGGAGAACGGAAGAAACTGACCTCAGGCTGGGGGCGTGTCAGGGGCGGGTCGGGGAGACCTCCAAGCTCCCGACACCTGAGCCGGCGGGCCGGAGCCACCTGCTGTTCTCCGCAAGACCGGCTCGACCCACAGGTGTCTGATGGGTGGACAAGGCCTGCCAGCGCTGCCCCGGAAGCGGGGGAAGAACGGCCTTCCTGGGAAGAACAGCCCTGCGCCTCCCTCGCTGCCCAGGAACGGGCTTGCCCAGGATCCGCTTTCCGTCCTGCCCCGGTCTCCGCCCACGGCCCCGACCTGGAGCAGAAATGCGAGCTGAGGAAAGACTTGTGGCCAGTATCTGTCCCTAACGCATAATATCATAGCTCCAATGGCCTCAAAGGTATCCGTTCTTAAGCACAAGAATTGAGATTCCCCCGAAATAGTTTGGGCCAGTATCACATTTAATAAATTACTTTTTGCGGGTATCTAAACACGTAATGATGGAGCCCTGGAGGTGCAGTGGTTAAGAGCTACGCTGCTAACAAGTTCGAATCCACCAGCCGCTCCTTGGAAACCCTATGGAGCAGTCCTACTCTGTCCTACAGAGTCGCTATGAGTCGGTGGTGTGCAGTTACCTGGATTAAAAAATAAGGACTTAAGTACAATTTTGCTGTTGCTTGAACGAAACCCATTGTCATGGAGTCCATTCTGATTCATAGCGACCCTATGAGACAGAGTAGAACCACCCTCATAGGGTTTCCAAGGCTGTAAATCTTTTGAAAGAGGACTGCTACGTCTTTCTCCTACGGAGCAGCTGCCGGGTTCCAACCGCGGACCTTTTGGACCACTGCGCCACCAGGGATCCTTTGCTGTTCCTTGGGTGCTACTTATAAAAGCATTTTCTTTAAGGTATTTATTATAAAAGGTAAATTCTTATCTGCTATCACACAGGGGCTTGGAAGAAACGCGTCTATGTTCTGGGATAGCTTCGGAGTCACACACTTCATTTTTCCTTTCCTTCTCCCTGGGCATAATAATGAACATTTGGCTACCATTATTTGTGTTTTAGGAACACCTTTGGATCATTTTTTTACTTTAATTATATTTACATTAGCAAGCCTAGACCTGCTGGTAAGAGAACTAGCTTTCACCATCCAAAGGAATAAGGTTGAAGTACTAGGAAAAGGTGAGACGAATCAGGAGCTGTGGTTTTTACAAATTCCTGTGGAAATGTTTGTTGGTCATCTCTTCAAAAATTCCAAAGTGCTCAACATGGCGCTGGAAATAAATACAACTACATATATATGAAAATTATTGCTTAATTTTGATTTTTGATTGATTTTTTTTTAATTAAAAAAATCCAGAACAGTTGCTGTCGAGTGGATTCCCACTCATGGGTACCCTATGTGTTCCAGAGTAGAACTGTGTTCTGCAGGGTTTTCAATGGCTGATTTTTCAGAGTAGATCATCACGCCTTTCTCCTGAGGTGCCTCCAGGTGGACTCAAACCTTCAACCTTTATGTTAGCCTCTGAGGGCATTAATTATTTGTACCACCCAGGGACTGTGCTTTAATTATAGCAGGTCCGTATTTTAAAAATGAATAATTCAATTGAAAGCCTACGTATTTCCCATTATTATAATTTTAGGGTTATATAAAAGTACTTAAGTTTGCGATAGTTTCAATGAGTTGTACACATTTCACAAAGTGACCCACTCTTGTTTTTCTCAACTGAAATTATCTTTGAAACTTTAACCTCTTACCAATATCCACTTTCATTTTGACTTTTCATTTCTTTCTTACCTTAGGTGTTATAAACAATTCTGGATTCCGTTTAAAACTTTCAAGTATTCAACTTTCAGTCAGTCTTTAGTTTTTGCTTTCTTCCCTCACGACACTAAGTGACCATTTCTTTACATTCTCAAAAATTTGCCATACCTTTTAAACTCCTTTTAAAATATTTATGTGCCCAGTATTATCTCCAACAGTATACAAACCTAAACCATTTGAGGCACACACTGCTAAAGAGGGCACGGAAAAAAAAAAGTCTAGTGTAGCATCCTATATCTTAATCTGAAATAATGTATCATGCAGTTAATATTACTGAGACAATACAAATATGGCTGATTGTGGGAATCTACTTCCAAAGAGAATAGTCATTAGTGGATATTTCCAAGGAAATAAACAAGAGACCAGAGGTATTTGCATTGTTCGATTGCTAGTAATTAATTTTCATTGGTACTTCTTACATCTTTCTCTTATTACAAACAGGGACAAAGATGCCAAGATAATTTTGTTCTATGTGTATGTGACTGGGTAAGTACACTAGGAAGATGCAATGTGAAAAAAGAATTTGTGAAAGAAGTAAGAAATATAGACATTATAGAAAAAAGACTTTTGTGGATAGAGAGGATTAGCTATATATATTCATTGGGAAACTTTATTTGGCCTAGTTTCTTTATTAAAACTCTTGCAAAGTTAAATGAAAATGAGAAGGCTAGAAACTCCCTAATGAAGAAACAGAGAAACCTGATATTAGAAAGTTAAATCCACAAAGAGTGGCAAAACAAGAAGATACATTAAGGCTATTCCAGAAGACTTGTTTAAAAAGGAAAAAAAGACGTTTAGATTATGAGAACTAACTAAAAGCTACGACTAGAAGAACTATATTCTACAATGAACTAAGGACCATACAAGTTTGCCTTTCACTGCTTAACGATTGTTTTATATATTAGTTTTCCTCTTCCAATTTGATTGTGGGTTCCTCTTCAAAGTATTTGTTTTGCTCGATCCACAGTGCTTCATTTAGCGCTGGACGTACAGTAGGTTCTCACATAAATACTCCTTAATAGGTTGGTTCGACAAGTTGGGCAGTGATTTCTACTCCTGGAAGATGAGACATAATGATCCAATAATTAGCTCATTAAAAATAAAGGTTCTTTCCTCAGAGGAGCATTTCCCAGGACCTGACCTCATAGCCAGTCTCGCCCTTGATTTATGCGAAAATGGAGTTACAATCAACAGGCCAACAGAAAATGAAGGTATTTGTTTAAATAAGTCATTTTTGAGAAGCAGTGATTTTATACCAAGTGTTGAGGATAAGAAACTGGGTGGATAAGCTTGCCGATGCTTTAGAAGTAGTCTCTACATGAGATCATATGGAAAGATTGAAAGATTCTTTTTAGATTTCTCATGCTTGCAATCAAATGCACAGTGGAAAAAAATGTACAGTGAGGGTACTGACAGTTTGATGTGAAAAACTGGACGTGTGGAGTACCAAGGCAGGAGTGGTAGACGCGGGACACTGGCTTCGATGAACGCAGTCTTTGAAACAAGCCAAAGGGACAGAGCGCCCAGGAGCAGATTCGTCGCGTACACTGGTTCCAGCCTGAACCCCTGTGGCTCCTCTCGGGCGGGGAAAGTTGCCCTGGATCCTTCTCCAGCCCGGACGAGCGCGGAAAACAGCGGCGGGGAGGAGCCGGCCCAAGGCGGGGAAGCGGCCAGCGGAGGAAGCGGCTCCTGGGGTTTGCCCGGGACCTGCTAGAAGACAAGGCTGAGGACGGGAGGCGGATGGCGGAGTGAAGGGATACCCCAATCTCGATATCGCTTTTGCGGTTAAGCCAGCAATGGCAGAGGGAAGATTCTCGCCGTCCTCTCCTGGCCGCCCCTCGCCGCCCTAGCCTCGAGCTGGATCTAAGAGTAATTCATACAAAAGGTGGACTCGTCTCTGCCTTTGGGAATCCCGCGGACTGTCGTTAAACCTCCCCTAACATAGATACGACGGGTCTTAGCGTCCCCGCCCTCCACCGACTCGCTGACGTCATTGCCGGGGTAGAGAGGAGCATGCGCGATTAACTGTGTGCGGTTCAGCCGGCCGAGCGCTCATCCCCGCCAACAGTCCCCGAGAAGTGGGGGAAGGGACGGTAATTGAACCGGTGCCTGGTGGAGGTGGCGCGGGGTAAACTGGGAAGTGCTGGCGTGTTCTGACTCCGCCCCTTTCCCGAGGGTGGGGGAGAACCGTATATAAGTGCCGCAGTCGCCCTGAACGTTCTTTTTCGCAACGGGTTTGCCGCCAGAACACAGGTAAGTGCCGGGGACGACTTCCGCAGGCCAGGCCTCCTTGAGTGGGATGAGGCCTTCTCGTGCCTTTATTGCTTTCCAGTCAGCCACTTTGGGAGGTTCTTGCTTCGAATTTGGGGTTGTAAGTGGGCGGAAGAGCTCGAGGCCTGGCGCTTTTTTCTGGAGACTTCATTGCCTCGTGTTGCGTTGAGGCCTGGCTTGGTCGCCGTGGCCGACGCGTGCGATCCAGCCCCACCTTCGCACCTGTCCAACTATTCTCGATTAGTATCTGGCCACTTTATTTTCTAACGTTAGCAGCTGGAGTTTATTCTGTCGAGATAATTCAGCCGAGGTGGGGCAGTACCTCGACCGGACCCGGCTTTGTGGCGCTGGTAGCCCACTACTTACGGCTGTGGGGCAGCCGCGAGGCGCCGACGAGCCACTCGTTCCCGCGCACACTTCGGGCGAGGCGAGGCGGGTCCCTTGAGCCGCGGCCACCGAGTCGGACGAAGGGGAGAGGTTTGGGAGGTTGACTGCGCTGCTTCGGTGACCAGCCTCGCGGCGCGGCGTCCAGCCCACCCGAGGCGGCACCAGTTGCGTGCGCGGAAAGATGGCCGCTCCCCGGCCCTGCTGTAGGGAGCTCAAAATGGAGGACGCGGCGGCCCGGGAGAGCGGGTGGGTGAGTCACCCACACAAAGGAAAAGGGCCTTTCGCCGTCGCTTCTTGTGGCCGTACGGTGTACTGGTTGCTTTCTTAGCATCTGGATTACTTCTCTCAGCCTTCGGAGTACAGCTTCCTCAGGTTGAGGGGAGGGATTTCTATGCTGTGGAGTTTGCCCACATTTGGTGGGTGGAGACTTAAGAGACCAGATTGGCAGTGAATGTAATTCTCCGTGGAATTTGGCCTTTGAGTTTGGATCTTGGCTCATTCTCAGTCCTTTCGGACAGTTGGTTAAAAGTTTTTTTTTTTTTTTTTTTTAACTCAATTTAGGTGTTGGTGAAAACTGTCGCAGAGCCTAAGCCAAAATGGGAAAGGAAAAGACCCATATCAACATCGTCGTCATTGGACACGTAGATTCGGGCAAGTCTACCACTACTGGTCACCTGATCTACAAATGTGGTGGGATCGACAAAAGAACCATCGAAAAATTTGAGAAGGAAGCTGCTGAGGTAGGTGCAGTGACAAAGGGGAAGGATAATTGAACTAAAGTTCACAGCAAATAACATCAAATGGCCATGATTTTCTAAGAACGGGGGCTGATTACGTTTGCATGCTCTATATTGGGTACAATTTCAAACAAATTTGCTGTTAATAATTTGGCTTTGATGTTGTCATTAAGGTAAAGCCACCTAGAATTAGCAGTAAAGTGGGGTCTACCACTTCCTCTTAAGTGGGATCAAGAAATTTCAAACTGGCGTTTATCACGTATTGGTTACCAAGTAACCGTTCCTAATCATTACAGATGGGAAAGGGCTCCTTCAAGTATGCCTGGGTCTTAGATAAACTGAAAGCTGAACGCGAGCGAGGCATCACCATTGATATCTCCCTGTGGAAATTTGAGACCAGCAAGTATTACGTGACCATCATTGATGCCCCAGGACACAGAGACTTCATCAAAAACATGATTACAGGAACATCACAGGTTTGTAGATTTAATAATCCTTAAGTATTAACTGGGCAGCCCGTGGCTGGGTTTGATTAGTGCTTTAATTAGTAATAAATGCAAAAATAAAAACCAGCCTCTGGAATCATTTGACAGTAAGGTGCATCCTTGCGTGTTAATTTTGAAGAACTTTGAATAGAGTATTACGTTTTCTTTCAAAGGCTGACTGTGCTGTCCTGATTGTTGCTGCTGGTGTTGGTGAATTTGAAGCTGGTATCTCCAAGAATGGGCAGACCCGTGAGCATGCCCTTCTGGCTTATACACTGGGTGTGAAACAACTCATCGTTGGTGTTAACAAAATGGATTCCACTGAGCCACCGTACAGCCAGAAGAGATATGAGGAAATTGTTAAGGAAGTCAGCACCTACATTAAGAAAATTGGCTACAACCCTGACACAGTAGCATTTGTGCCAGTTTCTGGTTGGAATGGTGACAACATGCTGGAGCCAAGTGCTAACGTAAGTGACTTTCGAGACATTGCTGAACTTTGGAAGTGGCAGTTTGATGTAATCCTAATTGGCCATCTTGTGTTTTAGATGCCTTGGTTCAAGGGATGGAAAGTCACCCGTAAGGATGGCAATGCCAGTGGAACCACGCTGCTTGAAGCTCTGGATTGCATCCTGCCACCAACTCGCCCAACTGACAAGCCGCTGCGTCTGCCTCTCCAGGATGTCTATAAAATTGGTGGTAAGTTGAACAGTAGTTTTGTTAAGATGTGAGTTTTGGGTGAGATACATTCAGCTTATCTAAAAAAGTATTTGATATATTATAAATTTTTTAGGTATTGGCACTGTCCCTGTGGGCAGGGTGGAGACTGGTGTCCTCAAGCCTGGGATGGTGGTCACCTTTGCTCCAGTCAACGTCACCACTGAAGTCAAGTCTGTTGAAATGCACCATGAGGCTTTGAGTGAAGCTCTGCCTGGGGACAATGTAGGCTTCAATGTCAAGAATGTCTCTGTGAAAGATGTTCGTCGTGGCAATGTGGCTGGTGACAGCAAAAATGACCCACCGATGGAAGCAGCTGGCTTCACTGCTCAGGTAACACTTTAAAATACACTGCACGTTCTTAACTGCAGAAACCTGTTTGAGACTCATTAAATGCAAAATATTTTTAAGGTGATCATCCTGAACCACCCAGGCCAAATCAGTGCTGGCTATTCACCTGTGCTGGATTGTCACACAGCTCACATTGCTTGTAAGTTTGCTGAGCTCAAAGAGAAGATTGATCGCCGTTCTGGAAAGAAGCTAGAAGACGGCCCCAAATACTTGAAGTCTGGTGATGCTGCCATCGTTGACATGGTTCCTGGCAAGCCCATGTGTGTTGAGAGCTTCTCTGATTATCCTCCTTTGGGTAAGGATGTTTATTAAGTATAATCAGAAATTGTACTAATGATGAAAAATCCTGCTTTTGTGAACCAGGCTTTTCTCATGGTAATTCTGTTCATTACAGGTCGTTTTGCTGTTCGAGATATGAGACAGACAGTTGCTGTGGGTGTCATCAAGGCAGTGGACAAAAAGGCTGCTGGAGCTGGCAAGGTCACCAAGTCTGCTCAGAAAGCTCAGAAGGCTAAATGAATGTTACCCATAACACCTGCCACCCCAGTCTTAATCAGTGGCGGAAGAACGGTCTCAGAACTGTTTGTCTCAATTGGCCATTTAAGTTTAATAGTAAAAGACTGGTTAATGATAACAATGCATCGTAAAACCTTCAGAAGGAAAGGAATGTTTTGTGGACCATTTGTTTCTTTTTTGTGTGTGGCAGTTTTAAGTTATTAGTTTTTAAAATCAGTACTTTTTAAATGGAAACAACTTGACCAAAAATCTGTCACAGAATTTTGAGACCCATTAAAACAAAGTTTAATGAGAAACCTGTGTCTTCCTTTGGTCAACACTGAAGCTTTCTAATTCTCGTGTTTGCTGAAACTATTCCAGGGTTAACTGAAATGGTTCATGCAGCAATTGAGTGGTTTTTTCACCTTTCTAAGGGGAGGGGTTTTTAAGGACTTGGTGGAAAATCTGTTGGAGTGGGGTTGCCTGCAACCCCTATTACTGATGAGGATTGAGAAAGCAAGAGTAGTAATGTTGTATAAGCTGCCTTGTAAGAAGGCTAAGTTCTGTAATAAAGGCCGTATTACATAAAGAATTCAGTTTGTGTAGTATTGCTGAGTGGGTTTGTTAAAATTTCATTTCTCATTTGTTGAAATGTACATTCACAAATAATGCAGTAGTGAGAATCCTGAGATTTAAGTAGTATTGAGTGCATTGCTTCTAAGACAATTGTATTTAGGTTCTAGGAAAAATAAAGATACTGGAAGTTGAATGCTTTTCTGTTATTTTAACCTCACTTCCTTTAGAATTTCAGAGCAAGGTGAGCTGTTGGGTAGTGAAGGGAGATTAAATCCTGAATTTGAAGAGGTAAAGTGCCCTAAGTGAAGGGAATAGATGGGATAGACACTGCTGATTACCGGAAGTTTACCACGTACTTTTCAAAAACTATTTGCATGGAACCACGGGTACAAATTTAACACTATTCCACACAAGGAAAAGCACTGTTGAGAATTTGTGATTCGGCCCTTTACGTTGGTGGGATAATTTGGGGATATAAATTAGGGGAACTTGAAAAATGCTGTGATTTGCTGATGAGAACTTTCTTACTAACAAACTGTTAACAGCCAACTTAGGTAGTTTAATTCAGTGTCTGACATCCAGGTCACTGTTTTTTGATAGCTGCTAAACCTGTTAAGATAATGCACTTGAAGTGTTTTTCATGGGAATTTTGTATAGTACATGACAGCTAAGGATGAGCTTTTTGATTATGAATTTTTAATCAGCTGAAGTCGTTGGGTAAAATTCCATAGAACCAACGGTATTCTACAAGACAGACTGGGATCTAAATGAAATTGAAAAATGTTTGAAAAGGCTTTACAACAGAGCATTCGTGTTGTCAATTCAAAGGGTAAGCCCATTAAGGTACAAGGATCATAAAATAGGGTGTTGTAGATTAAGGGAATCTTGGATTTGAAGAAACACTAGCAGTAAATGTTAGATAAAAACCTGAATTGGGCGAAAAACAGTGCTACCCAAGGCATTGATGAGGATTTTACACAAGTAATGACCATAAACTCCAACTCCATGAGCCAATTTGCATGAATACTGTTACTTTGGTTAGGGTAAGGGTATTAGATATCAAGTTGGGCCTTGACTCATGGTGACCCCATGCACAATGGAATGCTGCCCAGATCATGCACCATCCCCATACCTCAACCACTGCACCACAAGGGCTCCAGATGATAAATTTTAGCTGATATTAAATCTGGGACAGCTGTAGGTCTTAATAAGAACTGTGTCGTCTCAAGTGGTAACTTTGGTGAAGGTTAAGACAGTACACAATACTGGGGAAGCCAGCACAACTTGTACAAGGCAAAAAGAAAAATATATTGTTACCTCCCCGCCAAGAATTAGCAAGTTTCTAGCACCAGTGGAAGAGCAGGAAATAGCGCAGAACAACCTAAAGTTTCAGTTTAGTTGCATGATGGTCACTTCCTCTGAAGGACCGGATGTACTTGCTTGTGAAGACAATTGTCTGGTTTGAGCACCACCTACTGGTAGTTCAAAACAATAGATGAGTTTCTAAATTTAAGAATAAAACAGCATTTTTGCCCTGCTAGTATCTGAGTTTTCTCTACTGACTATGCCTTTCATAGTTTCTGAATTGATGAAAAGCAAAATATTTTGAAGTTGATTTCAAAAGTAAATACTGGAATTATCTCAATTGTCATTTAACCGTTTGTGTGTGTGTGTGTGTGTGTTCACTAATGGCATGCTGATTCAGAGACCAATTCAGAATTTTTTGAGTTACGGATTTTGAGAGATCATCTGGTAATACAAGCCACCAATAAGGCAAGTGTCACTGTGGCACCATCAGTCTGTGGTATGACAATATACCAGTAAGAACTAAATAGTTTATTGCAAGCGCCTTTCCATTAGGTTACAGGGGGAACCCCTGGTTTTTCAAAGATTACATACAAAAACCAAAACAAACCCATCAGGGCTCCCTAACTATCACATCCAAACCACCAAACTTGCCGTTGAGTCAATTCTCATTTATAGCAGCATATAAGACAGAGTAGAACTGCTCCATGGCGTTTCCAAGGAGCAGCTGGTGGATTCGAACTGCTGACCTTATGGTTAGCAGTTACCTCTTAACCACTGCACCATCAGGGATCCACGTCTATCACATAGGAAAGCTATAATCATGCTTGCAAGCCTATGTCACAAAAATAAAGGGAAAAAAGTAAAAGTTTACAGAACTAACCTATCCAAGAAGCATCACCTAGCTCAACCTTTACAACAATGAGGTTCCAACTCCAGTCTGCTGAGCTTCATGCATTTCAAAAGGGACCCACCTTGATGATAAATGCATTAGAACCCAAATAACATGCTACCTATGAGGTTCAGAGGCATAAAAAGTGACTGGTATAGAGTTATACCAATAGTACTGAAAGTGGTAAACTGGTGCTTGGTTAGTTGTCTTGCTGTTACCCATGTTAGATGACTGTAAAGAAATTTTCACTTTCCTGAAGGATTTTCTTTTCTGATCTAGTTTTGCTTTTCATAACCTTCAACTGTTCTTTTTCACTTCCAAATCCATGGGTTCTTTCTTAGCCAGCATTGCCCAGGTGGCATCAGTCACCTTCATTATTTGCCAGTCTCCAGTTAAAACAAGAATTGAAGCATAACTCTTATAAATATATCGCTTGCTTATCTAGTGATTTGGAAGAGGAAAAATTGTTAACTTTGTTAGGAAACTTTGGCACACGGCTCCTGAAAAGTTGCTGACCTTTGATTCAATGGGAATTCCTGAGAGGGACCATATGATTTTGTTCTTTGTTTTCTAAATAGAGGGTTATACAGTAGCCCAGACATTACCAGCAGAAGTTGTATGTGAAATGAGTAGAGGGAAGATTGTCATTTACTTTGGACAGGCTGTAGCAGGCCCATGGATCTCTAAGGGGTTAAAAGTTCAGTTTGTGATCTCTATGGGAGAGACATCACAACAACAAAAAATTAATGTTAAGTTAATGTTGCCTTAGTAATAGCCTGGAGTCCTTGGGCGGCACAAACAATTAAGCACTCAACTACTAGCTGAAAGGTTGGAGGTTTGAACCCACTCAGAGGCACCTTGGAAAATGGACTTGCTGATCTGCTTCCAAAAGGTCACAGCCTTGAAAACCCTATGGAGCAGTTCTACTCTGCACACATTGGGTGTCCAGGAGTTGGAATTAACTCACGGCAACTAAAATTATATCCTAAGTAAGCAAAGGATATTAGAAAACTTATTCTGCTAAATAAGAGATTAAATTATTCCTATTTTTTAAATTATAACGTATTTGTGCACAATGAAATTCACCCTTTTAAAGTGTATAGTTCTGCAAGTTTTGACAAATGTATGTAGTCCGCTACAAACAAGACATAGAACAGTTCCATCGCCCTCAAAATTTCACTATGCCCCTTTGTAATCAACCCCTCCCCTGTCCCCCTACTCTTGTTAACTACTGATGTATTTTATGTCCCTAAAATTTTGCTTTTGCCAGAATGTCATATCCATAGACTCATGCAGTATATAGCCTTTGAGTCTGGCTTCTTTCACTTAGCATGATGCATTTTGAGATTCATCCATGTTGTATATATCAGTAATGTGTTCCTTTTTAGCAGATATACAATAGTTTATCCATTTCCAGCTGAGGGACATTTGGTGGTTCCAGTTTAGGGGTATTACTAATAAAGACGCTGTAAACATCATGTGTAGCTTGTGTGTGGCTTTAAGTTTTCATTGTACTTGTGTAAATATGTAGGAGTGGGATTGCTGGGTTGTATGGTAAGGGTATGTAAACCTTTATAATAATAAACTGCCAAACTGTTTTCCAAAGTGGCTAAATCATTTAGTAATCAGATAAATTTTTTTTTTGCATAACCTTTTCTTAATAATTATAAAATTTATAACAAACATTTAAACAAAAACAATTGAATATAGGGTGCTGGGTGCATTTGAATATGCTTTAAGGGAGTAGATTATGTTCCCCCAAATCATGAGAGCCTGGGATATGCGAAAATTTTAAAACAACCCTCCATAGGGTTGTGGTGGTTTTAAATTAAAAAAAAAAATTATTGTGGTGAGAGATTAATTTTTTAAGTAAGAAAAATAATTTGACTAAATGAGTGTTACATTGGGATTCTATAGAACAATGAAGAACTAATTTGCTCAAAAAAAGTACTATGCCTACTATGTGCCAGATACTATTCTTGGCGCTGGAGATAGAGTTGTAAACACAATTGTGGACACAGTTCCTGCCTTTGAGTTTAGTCTAGTGGAGGAGATAGATATTAAATAAATAAAGGTAGATAATTCCAAGTTGTGATAATGTCATGAAGGAAAAGAACAGAGTGCTACGAGGGAGAATATGGTCGTCGTTAGGTGCTGTCAAGTCAATTCCGACTCATAGCGACCCTATGTACTACAGAACACTGCCCGGATCTGCACCATCCTCAAAATCATTGCTGTGTTTGAGCATGTTGTTGCAGCCACTGTGTCCATCCATCTCATTGAGGGTCTGCCTCTTTTTCACTGACCCTCTACCAGGCACGATGTCCTTTTCCAGGGACTAGTCCCTTCTGATAACATGTCCAAAGTACGTGAGATGAAGTCTAGCCATTCTCGCTTCTAAGGAATATTGTGGCCGTACTTCTTCCAATACAGATTTGTTCATTCTTCTCGCAGTCCGTGGTCGTGAAAATGGCAAGGGGGTGGAGTCTAACCTCCTGTCTTTTCACAAGGGGGCAGGAGAATCAAGATCAATAGCCCAAGGCTGATTCCTATGAGGCAGAGGTCAGACATGCCTCCTATCTCTGCCATCTTTACCAATTCTGACACCAACTGTCCTTCTCACAGCACACTCTACTTCTCTGCTGGGTTCAGTAATTCATTACAATGGCCACACAGAACTCACAGACAATACTCATGATGATGGTGTTTATTAGGCAATAACAGGTTACGATTCAGGCTCAGGAACACTCAGGATACAGTTCTTCCATCAGGACAGCCTATTTTCAGCTGTGCTTACAGGCCCACCTCACCTCTCTCTGGGCCTAGGCCTCTGCCCTGCTAAGGGAAGTGTTACAAAGCTCTTTTAGCTTCTGCCAATAATTCCCAGACTCTCTCTCTCTCTCTCTCTGTTTCCTGGTTCCGGCACATGGATCCTGGGTCCTAAGGACGTGCTCTCTGCTCCTGGCTGTTTTTCCT